CTATAAATGCACTCCCTGTATAAATGCACACTTTTGTTTAGTCCCGAGGGGGGTGCATTTATAGAGAGTTGACTGTAATTATAACGGTTCCACTGAATATGAAAAAGCAATACGTTTCTTAGAGATGGGTTGCAATTGTGGTTGCTCGACAATGATTCCAAGAGAAATGTTTGCCGAATTACGTGAAGCATTTCAAGCTCTCTCTAGACCCGAGCAAGATATATTTTTAATGGCCCAGTTGAAAGCAATGAATGGTGGAGAAATAACCGCCAGTCGACATCTTAAAAAGAAAACGCGTACTAACAAGAGAACTTTTTATTATTGAGATCGCAACACACCTCTTTGCCAGAAAACGCATATCAATATGTTAGGAATTGGTCGCACTCACTTTGAAAATGTCAGAAATCACCTAGCAACGAATGGTATAATACCGCGCATCCACGGTAACATTAAACGAATGTCGCGATGAAAAACTAAAATAACCATCGATATAACCGTTGCTACCATCGTGAAGAATTTTCTTGAAAACTATGCTGAAATTCACGGACTACCAAGTCCTGGTAAAAATGTCAATCGCATTACTCAATCACTTACACTTTTAACAGCTGAAACAAGTTATAAATCGGTCTATCGTGATTTTATTGCAGGTCTCAAAAATGATAGCACGTTGAAATTGTTAAAATATGATGCATTTCGCAAGCTATGGCATCAATTAACGCCTTATATTCAAATCATGAGTCCAAGAACAGATTTATGTGATACGTGCCAACATTTTCAGAATGGCCTACAGTATAATGCTTGTAAGGAAGAAGAAGCGAAAGATTTATTGAAAAGATTCAAAGAACATCTAATTAAAGCTAAGTTAGAGAGAAGTTATTACAACAAAAATACGAAATTAGCAGAACAACAGAGAAAATTAGTAGATGAGCATTTTATAACGAGAGGTAAAGCTGATTATTGTAGTGTCAATGCTACTGTTCATTACAGTTACGATTGAGCACAAAATGTTCACGTGTCCCATTCTGACTAACAGGTAAGTAAGATTTACTATCTTAGTCCGCGTAAAGTACATTTATTTGGTATTCAAGATGAAGCAGTACGCGAATAAATTAATTACGTTCTCGATAAAGACGAAATTATTAGTAAAGGTTCCAATGGCACATTAAGCCTGGTATTCGATGGAATTAAGTGATTGAATAAAGGCGAAAAACATCTAAAGATTACTTGTGATAATGCAGGTGGACAAAATAAAAATAATGCTACTATTTGATTTTACTTATATTTAGTAATTTGCGGTTATTATGAAAGCATTAAATTAAATTTTATGGTACCTGAACATACTAAATTCAAGTGTGATGGTAGTTTCAGACTGATTAAAAAGCTTTATCGAAAAACAACTGTCGATTGCGTGGATCATATTGTTAAGGTTGTGAAAAGATCAAGTACAGCGGGATTAAACAAGGCTCAACGTTATGACAATAGAAAAGCCTTTCAATATTTGGATCTTAATTCCATATTGGAAATTTTCCTTAAGAAATTGAACGGTTTACAAAAATATCAGCATTTTGTATTCGAAGCAGCCAATCCTGGAGTTGTCAAAGCTCAGCTGATTGCTAATGGTTCGTATACTGAATTTAATTTGTTAAAAACTAGAAAAGCAAGTGTTTTCGAAATTACCAAAGAAATTAAATCTTTTTCCATTCTAGTTCTAACTCCGTCTCCTTTGGATTATAAAAGACAAGAATATCTTTATCATAATATTCGCCCATTTATTAGAGATGAATTCAAAGACATTACTTACCCCAAACCAATCTATACTGGTAATGAATAAAATATTTCAGTCAACTGTAAATTTTATTACTTCATTAGTTTTTGTTTGTTTCTGTTAAATTCTTTATATTTAATTTTTTAATGACATTAATATTAAAATATAATATATTACATGATAAAAAAAGGAAATTAAAATCATGACATTCAATAAAAATGATATAAATACAATAGATGAAGCAAAGGAATACTCCAATTATTATGGAGGAGTCCTTAAACCAAAAGAAAAGGCTATCTTTGATAGTAATCTTTTAAAACCAAATGGTACTTTGGATAAAGCTTTACTTCAACACACTGCTAAAGTACTTGATAATTGAAAACAATCCAAAGATAAAGTGAAAACTGAAACCATGGGTTTAACTGATAATAGAAAGGCTCTATTTAAATATTTACTGATAGAACAAAGAACTAACTCCATTCCTTATCAAATGGTTAATGGAATTGGTAGTAATAAACCAATTGACAAAGTTGTTAGTCAATTTGAAGATATTTTTTTTGCTAAATCTGAATATGAATTTGATCACAAAGAAGAAGAAGTAAGTATTGAAATTTTAAATTTAGAGAATAAAAAAGAAAAAAAAGTTAAAGAAATTGAAAGTTTAAACCAAAAAAATAATCATCAAAAATTATTAAATGAACAAATTAAATTAGAAACTAATGTTGCTACTTTGGTTACTGCTTTAAAGAATGACCTTAGAACTCCTGGGGTAGGTGATCGCAAGTTTTTTGACTTAATAGCTGAAAATAATAAAAATACTTCAAATGAAATATATACATCTACTGCACCAGCTACTGCTGAAACTTATGGATCAATTATCAAAACTGGTTATACTAAGAATAGTAAACCTTATACTCATCCTATTTATGTGACGATTGATTTTCAATATCAAGTTTGAACTCTTTTAAAGAATATTGACAAAGATAAACTTTTTAACTATATTTCTCCTGATTGTTCTTGAAATGCTGATAAAAAGAAAAAATTTAAAAAAACATTTTCTCGAATTGTAAATTTGGAAATTGAAATTTGAAACCCTGGCAATAAAAATGAAATGGCTGGTTTTAATAATAAGGGATACAAACAAGAAGATAAAGAAACTTATCGATATATAAGTGATATCTTTTATGTTATGAATAAACTCTTTTCCCAAAAAGATAGCAATTATAAAGATAATCCTTTCTTAAAAAAAGGTGAAAAAAGTTGTTTGCAATTTAATGATACAGAAAAGAGTATTGATACTCCTTATAAGATATATTGAAGAGGAGCAGATGTCAGCATTATTGGAAAGAATTATTCTCTTACTAGTCTAAGTATTATGAAAGCTCCTTTTCCATGTGAAGAAAAACATTTAACTTAGGCTAATGGTCAAATTTCTGAATTCTTTTAACAAGTTTATAATAATCTGGAAGCTACTGATTTTAGTGCTTATCATGAAGTATTAGGTTCCGATGCAATTAATATGGAAAGAATTCGTGAAGAGCCAATAACTGTTTATGAAAAGAAAATTCATGGAGAAGAATTAACTAGATGAGTTTTTGGTAATGATTATTTAGATATAATGTACAGTAAATATGTTGAAAATTTAATCAAAAATACTGGTGTGATTCCTTCAGGAGATGTTGATAAACTTCGCAGTGAGTGAGAAAGTATTTCTAAAAAAATTTTTTTAACTTTTAGAGGCGAAACCTTTACAACTTTCTCACAAAGAGCAAAATCTGTGACCTATGCTGAAATAAAAGATAGAATTTCTGATTTTAGTAGTAGTAATACTGTTAAATTAATAACAGAGTATTCAGAAAGTGGAGTTGACCAAGTGACCGAGGATAGTGTGATCAACAAATGAGATGAATGAGAAAAAATTACTAAAGTTAAGAGAAAGACTTTAGAAAAAAATAAAAATGATTTTGAAGCTGAATTAGGTGCAAAATGAATTGAACTAAATGAAATTGATTCTAAAATAATAGAAGCTCAGATTAGAAAAACAGTAGCAGAAAAAACAATAGAAACTGCTAAAAAAGGAAAGATGAAAGGTTTAAAAGATGCCTTTAATACCATCAATGCTAAAACTAACAAGACTTACAATGAAGTATTGTTTTTAAGAAGCATTTTAGGTTTAGTAGAGCAATGATAGAATAAATATCCAGAATTATATCCTACTGTTACTACTGGTCCTAATGCTTTTGATATAACTGCTTTACGAACAGTTTTAGATAATGATGAAAAAGCATTGAGAGATAAATTTGCTGAGTATTATTCTTGAACAAGTCTGGAAAGTAATTTTACTGAGAGATTAGAAGGTTGGAAAAAAGCTGATGGTGAACTTTGACACAATGAAGAAGTAGTAAGAGCTCATTTAGAAACTTTGAAATCTGCTTTAGAAAGTATAGAAAAAAGAGGTTCATTAGATCAAATTGAGAAAAACGAGTTAGAAGAAATCAAAAGATATTTAGCAGGAACTCCAGTACCAACTGAGAAAAGAATTCTTTCTAGTGAACTAAAAAGTGCATTGAGAATTGTAGAGTTTGGTGTTTTTCGTGAAAATGCTCAATGATGGATTGATTATTCCAAGAATATTGATTTCAAAACCAAGACTGATGAAATTAGAAAAATAGCTGATAAAGTTAATAAAGATGATAAAATTAAAAAGCCTGACTTTATCAAGTATTTAAGAGAAAATTTCTCTACTAAACCAGATTGATCTGAAGACAATGCTGGTGAAAGAATGGTATTAGATTGATTCTTTACTCAAAATCCCAAAACTGTAATTGAAACTATTGCTTCTCAAGAATTAAAAGTGGATAGTAATCTTAAAATCACCATCATTAAAGAGAAGGAAAATTATAAAGATGGTGAACTAGTCTTAGATAAGTCTAAATATCCCAAGGATGAGGAAGGAAAGTTCATTGCAGAAGCAATTAATTTGTTCTATTATGAAAAACTAGAAAGACAAAATCATGCTAAGAAGAAGTATAAAAAGCCCTTTAAAGATCAGCAACAAGAAGTGTTCTGAACTTGAAATAATCCTTGGGCTATCTTATCAGGAATTGGATTATTTGCCCTAGGAATTGGAATTATTTGAGCTATTCATAAATGAAAAACTATCCTCCAATGATGAAATGCTCCTTCTGAATTAGAAGATGAGTTAGATGAAGATGAAGAGGAGGATTATTAATGATTTGATTGTTTATTCTACCAGTCTTCTTTACTTTCTTGGTTCATCATAAGTTGAGGTTAAGGGTCGTTTATGGTTTACTATTTTTTGTTCTTCTTGATAAATTTCATAAGTGATTTTTTCTTGATCTAGATATTCCTGGAGTGTTTGGGTATCATTGATTTTAAAAACATAAGGCACAATTTTTTCTCCTTGCTCTTTTTTTAAAATGCTTCAAATAGTGCTGTAATTCTTGGGTTCCATAGTGGATTTGATGTAAATTAGTTTTATATTTATATTTTTATATAGGGATAGTCCTATATTACTCCTGTTATGGTTTACATTCATCACATTCTGGTATGATAAAGTGAAAATTAAAATTAACAGGCCCATAAGATATGAATGAGCATCATTATTACTTTTTAGTCATACTGGTCAATCAATTTTACAGCCACATTATAATCAAACTCTCATTTATATCACATAATAAAATGTTCACTTTGTCTGGTTTTATTGCAGCATGCCCCATATGTGACATATCAGATGTGATCGATATAAACGACATATTAGACATAACTGATATATGTTATATAACTGACATGTTAGACATGTCAGACATATATGACATAACTGACATATTAGACATGTCAGACATATGTGGTATAACTAACATATTAGACATAGCTGACATATTAGATATATTAGTTATATCTTTCTATGTAATATATTTTATATAAATAGGCAACTTGTTACATCAGTAAATTTAATAATGCGAAGTATTATGTAAACCCTACGCTTCGTAATCTTACGTAAGGTTACGAGCCTGTCGAAAAACTTACGTATCGTAGTACTTCGATATT